CTGCGCCTGGGGATGATGGGATACCTTCTGAATTTTGGAGAATGGATTCTGTTTTTCCGATATTGCTTAGAAGCTTTGATAGGATCTTAAGATCTGGGGAAGTCCCAAAAGATTGGAGTAGTGCTATTTTATGTCCAGTATATAAAAATGGATCTAAGTTGATCCCTAGTAATTACAGAGGAATTTCTTTACTGAACTGTGTGTCAAAGATATTTTGTAATATATTGTATTATAGGTTGATTACCTGGTTAAATTTAAACGATGTTTTATTTGAGAATCAGGCCGGATTTCGTGAAAAATATTCTACGCTGGACAATATTTTTATTCTGCATACTCTTATTACTAAGACATTAATGAAAAAAAGGAGAAAAGTTTATGCATTTTTTGTTGACTTGTCCTCAGCTTTCGATACTGTAGATAGGAATTTAATGTGGAAAAAACTCTTGAAATATGGTATTAGTTTTAAATTTGTTTCCTTGCTTACTGAATTATATAAAGAGTCTAATGTGAAGATTAAATGGGGTCGTCTATGTTCTAGGTCTTTTTTCACTGTTACTGGTGTTAAACAGGGCTGTGTTTTAAGTCCTGTTTTGTTTAGTGTATATTTAAATGATTTAATTGAACAAATAACTAATTCTGACTATGAAGGTATCGAGGTGAATGGCATTAACATTAAAATATTGGCCTATGCAGATGATATAGTTTTAATTGCCGACTCAGTTAGAGGCTTACAAGGATTTATTAATATTTTGGATAAATATTTACTAGAAAATAATATGAGCTTGAATATTATGAAATCTAAAGTTGTTGTTTTCCGTAATGGTGGTAAACTTGCTAAATTGGATAAATGGTGGTTTAGGAATGATGTAATACAGATAGTTTCTCAATATAAATATCTGGGTGTTGTATTCAGATTTAATGGTAAATTTAAATATCATATTCAGACTGTTAAAAAGAATGCCTTTGTTAAAACTGATAAAGTTATTCAAATGTGTAGATCGGCGAAATTGCGAAATTTGAAAGATTGTCTAAGGATTTTCAATTCAATTGTTAAATCATCTATGTTATATGCATCTGAGGTTTGGGGATACCAATATGACGAATTGGATCCGGTTCTGGTTAATTTTATAAAAAAGTTATTTGGTTTGTCTCGTTGCACCCCAAATTATTTGAT